TCAGCAGGAGCAAGTCTGTAGGGCTGGCTGTGTGTAGGTAGTTTCCTACGATAACGAATGAAGCGGTGCAGTGACTTAAATGAGCGCAGCCTAAGCCTGCATTGCGCCAACTTTCCTTTTCCCCCTTTTCCTCCCGCACGCTACAGTAACTGCTCTGTGTGTTTAGGAAGTGGGGGGGCTAGCTGATGGGAAGGACAAATCCCTCACAGGTTTCCTTTGGCAGAAACTGGGTTTGGTGCAGGACAAACAACAGACGATACGGAAATGGTTCTGCGGCAGCTCCCCACTGTAACTGCAATCCAGAGGCTTTACCTGAATTGATGGCGATGTAAAAAAAAAAAACCAAACCTTTCCTCATACCCGAGATCATGTTGCCAGAAGAAAATTAGTTTAAGAAACACGCCTGGCAACAGGAAGATTTTAAATACTCCCCAATTCATACGCTAATTTTTGGAATGAAGTTCCAAATGGGAACGTCCCACAAGTAAGATTGTTTTCAGGGATAGTTTACACATTTTGCATAATCAAGTACTAAAAAAAAAAGAACACCAGAAAATGAAATTAAAGCCACATTGGGAAATACACTGTAACCTCTTTGAACCTTATCTACTTATTACTTATATATATATACAGTTACTTGTGTTTCTGACGACTGTCTTGCCAACCAATGTAAAAATACTGTGCAAAACAAAGATTTTTTTTTCTTTTTTTTTTTCACTGGCTTTATTATTAATTCCTGCACGAGTCACTTGAATTCATCCCCATTTTCCCCCTTAAAGGCAGGAGGCCTGAGTAGTAGGAAAAGAGCAACAGCCTGGAATGCCAAGGTAAGAGCAGCCTTTTACAGAAGGTAAAGGAGCCGAAAAGCAGGCAGGAAGACGGAGAGGAACTCATGGAGTTGTCTTGAGTGGCACCACGTAGACTGACATCCAGTTGGTACGTGGGGCCTTTGTCTGGATGGCGTCTAAATTTGGAGTCATCTTGGCGAGCACTTAGAGCCTTCAGTGTCTCAATTCTGGCCTCAAACTGGAAATGGAATATACTTACAGAACTGGTTCTCCGTATCCCCTGAAAGCATGCTTTTAATAGCAGGGGCTGCCCTTTAATGAAAAGGAAATGTCTAAAGCAATTTAACATTAAAACAGACCTAGGACATTTCCAACACTGAGTCCAGCTCACAGCAGTTCCAGACATCCTTGATGTTCAAGGCTGTGGCTTTCCTAGTTCTTGGATTTCGGTGTTCCTCAAGGCTTGTTTTCAGGCAATGAATGTTGGGTTTTACATGTTTAAATTTCCTTCCAAAGTAAATTGCTTCCTGGCGTATGCAGTTAAAGTGAGGATCTATTTACAGTGCCTTTTAAATTAAAGATCCTCCAGAAAGCTTAAACACTTAGACTTACACATTATGGCTTGAAATTACTTGAAGTAAAGCGTGTTACTTTACCACTGCCTTGCTTATGCTAGAACAGTCATCTCTGCGTTGAAGACAAGAACTGCGGTCCATGGATCAGGTATCTGAATTTTATTAAGAATCATATTTTTCTCCAGGAAGCCAGGACTGAGCTGAAGATGAGCACTTGCCCATTTACTCCAGTGTTAAAGGTAACCTCTTGCAGTTAAGCATCACTGAATGTATTTCTTTTCTTTTTATCCCCAAAGCACTGCCAAATGCTGGACCGTACCGCAAGCACTAACATGTTGAGTCCTGGCATTTGCACTTTTATTCTGTACCTGACCAATGCTAGAATGCAAGAGTAGGCAAAGTTTTGTGCCTTGAAGGTTTTTTTTTTTTGTTACTTTGCATAAAAGCGCATTGCAATCTGTGGATGTTCTATTATGTATTTAATAGATTTTATTCTGCTTGGTGTGGGTTTACATTGTACTGTAGAATGTGAAATTTCATAGACTGACTTGTATCTTGAATGTAATAAATTCTTAACTGGAGAAGGCACTCAGGGTCCTTGATGTAAAATAAAGTTTTGTTCTGTTTTTCAAAGCTACTCTGGACTTCTAAATTTAAAACTTACTCCTGCTTTGCCTAATGGAAAACTGGAGATGTTTCTCATCTGGTTTGGGGAAGGCCTCCAAGAATTGGTGCCGAGGTTTTAGATCCCAAAGCTTAAGCTGGAAACTGAATTCTGGATTCTTAACTCTTCTTGGAGCAGTCTTGTTTACGTGACTATTTGTGTGCCAAGCGAGGGTAGCAAAGGTGTCTGCAATGGAGGGTAAATACAAAAAAAGCACCTAATTTTTACCATATCATTTTATTCAACTTTAATATGGTTTCCATTATTAACTTCTAAAACAAAATGATTTCCAGTTTAGAAAACAATGCACTGACCACATAATTCCTTTTCCATTTTATACAGTTATACAAATATTCTAAATACACATTTTGTCAAGATGGTGGCAAATAAGATTTAACTGTACAGTACATAAGGAAAGAAAATATTTTAAGCATATTTAGAAGCAATAGAAATGTCTATACAAAACAAGCAAAAATGGAATAAAATTTTATATTTAAAGTATTGCAACAGTCCCACAGGTTTGTAACAAAAATGTCTTTGCACAGTTCCTCACAATGCCCCATTAATAGCTAAAGCAAGACAGCAATTTTTAGAAAATAATGTTTCAAAATGCTACACATGATACTACTGCTTGCACAGTCTGATCAAAATAACAATCTACTTGGAATCAAGCAAAACTTAGGAGGAGATATACCAACCAACTTTAAAATTATCTGTATAAAAGTCATTGCACATTATTTTACTCAGTTGTTTGAAAAGTAAAAAAGTGTATTTACAAAATATTTCGCAGACAAAATTATAAAGTGAATGGATAATATATAAGTAACACGTCTTGATACTGACAGTTCAAGAACACACACGAATGGGTTTATCGTTTCAAGAGGTTTTCAGTGCTCCTTCCTCCAGGAAGTAAACTTGACTTCTGCTTTGAAATGGATTTACAAGATGTTACACATAGCTATTTCAACATCAGCATTATAAAACAGTATGTTAGAAACATGAAAGAAAGAAGAAATTTGTACATCTTAAAAAGTGAGCTATTCATAGATCAACAAATTTTTTTTTTTTTAATTTAGTTAGGATAAGCGTTCATTATTCTTCAGATAACAAACCCAACACTTAAAATGGAAATCCTGGACTAGATGAGAATTGAAAAAGCACCATGCACAATAGTCTTAGTGTGGTAAACACTGAAGGAAAAAAAAAAAAATAGCACCTGGAATCCTGTAACACAGATCATTTAAAACTGGTCAAGTAGCTGGCGAAGATACGGTGCCTTTGACAGTTCTCTGTTTACTCTGGAGAGCTTGAAAAGCACTGGACAGTTGAGGGAGACGCACTGGATCTGTCGATCAAAGCAGCCCGTACAGTTCTTGCATATCTAGGTCACAGGTAAAAAAGCAAACCAGGTAAGTTTAAACTTAAGACAAGCAAGGCATAAATCCCGTGGGACTGCAAAGTCCTCAAGGCTGTATCAGCAGAGCAGGCACAGCCCCACCAGCACCAAGCTTTTCCCCAGCGCGGAGGGATGCGGAGGCTCCTTTTGGGGCTGGTGCCCGGCCGGCATCACCCGCCCTGAGCTGGGCAGAGATCGACAGCTCGACTGTACAGCTCAGGTTTCAATCCTGCTCATTAACTTCCACTCGTCCGTGGTGGCACTTGGAAAAATAAGGTGAATGGGTTGAGTGGATTTAAGTGGGGCAGTGTGTTACATTCACGATAAACTCCTCCTGTATAAAAGTTTCCTAGCCAAAAGAGACAAAAATGTTATTCTGCAGGTGTTCTCTACACGGGAAAGGAAGGGACTTAATAAACTACTCCTGTTTCCAGGTAAGCTTTGAGTTGTACTTTCCAAGTCGGAGTTAATCAATCCCAAGACAGAAATACACAGGGCACGCAAGTTCCACTGCTCTCCTTGTTGATGGAACTACTCTTTAATGTAGTTAGTGCCACTTGAAAGTACTTTTAACATGAGACACCTGATAGAATAAAATAGCAGAAGGCACCAAGGTAGCTACCTTCAGGAAACTAAAGGCCCCTGCTTTGCTATTTTACTTTTAATCCCTTCCAGTTTCTGCCACCTCCAATGGTTTTTCCAAAAACTCAGAAATTTGCTTCCAACCACACTTGTTTTGTGACATCAAGGTGTTACACAATGTTATCCTACCGTTTGCATAGTTTGAACAACAAATCAAAATCATATCCTTTGCTTTTAAAACTAGTTCTTTTCCTTCTTTCCATGTCAAAATTATTTGGGCACCAGTGACCCTCTCAGCACTGAACCCCTGCAGACCAGCAACTCAAACTGACAATAGCTGGAGAGGAGCAGCCCCTCTCGGCTGAGTCCCACACGCAGCTCCTCAGAGGACACCAGTCCTCTGACCTGCAACTGTGACCAAAAGGAACAGGATTTAAACGGTTTGGTCCAGGTTTGTAACCACCAGAAGAACCTCAGAAATAAGTCTACCCTAGTTCTTTTGGAAGAGGCTGCAGCTGGTTTGAATGCCAGGGACCAAACTAAATGGTGCTCAAGACACTTTCTAAGTTTAGTTTGCACAGAGGGGAGAAGGCTGTGGCCTTAATCTATGGCATGTAATTTTTAAGTGCGTTTTAGTGATGTACAGTTCAGTGTTATATCAGATTTCTGCTGGCTCCAGCATGTTTATAATCTAGGAGGGCCAAGAATTTAAGCTGTGAAGGATACATACATCTTCATATTAAAATAAGACAGATGCTCTTAGAGAGAGGTTGAGTCATGGTCCTGGTTTCGGCTGGGATAGAGTTAATTTTCTTCCTAGCAGCAGGCACAGTGCTGTGTTTTGGATTTAGTAGGAGAAGAATGTTGATAACACACTGATGTTTTTAGTTGTTGCTGAGTACTGCTTATGCTAGTCAAGGACTTTTCAGCTTCCCATGCTCTGCCGGGTGCACAAGAAACTGGGAGGGGGCACAGCCACAATAGTTGACCCAAACTGACCAAAGGGCTATTCCATACCATATGACGTCATGCTCAGTATAGAAACTGGGGGGGTTGGCCAGGGAGCAGCGATCGCTGCTCGGGAACTGTCTGAGTATCCGTCGGCGGGTGGTGAGCAATTGCATTGTGCATCACTTGCTTCGTATATCATTATTATTATACTGTTACTATTAGCATTACTATTTTACTTTATTTCAATTATTAAACTGTTCTTATCTCAACCCAGGAGTGTTTCTCACTCTTACTCCTCCGATTCTCTCCCCCATCCCATCGGGGTAGGGGGAGTGAGCGAGCGGCTGCGTGGTGCTTAGTTGCTGGCTGGGGCTAAACCACGACAGTCATCGAACACTGCCTAGATGGGGACCCCAGGCCCGTCGCATGTTGCAAGGACAAGGGAATGTTCTGATCAAACCCACCCATCCTTCCGTGGGGCTGGACCAATCTGCCGACTTCAGATTTATTCCAGAACAAAAGCAATGTAAAGGGTTCAGAGTACCACAGGGAAACGGCAGAACATGCATCATCTTCCTTTACTGCCATTTACAATGCAGATCAGGGCAAATATTACAAAATACAGCAAGAAATGGAAGTCCACACCTTAGTAATGCAATATTTATGAATAGTGAATTATAATGGTTTTCTAGCAACGGAGCCCCATGGGGACCTATCAAATCAATGCCTAGACGACAGGAACATTTATATGCCAGCAATTCAGACGTGTCTTTAAAATGGTTCACGTGCTAGTGCTAAAAATCAATTTTAGCAAAAATATTTATTAATTATAAAATATGACAGTACGAAAATTAGGTGAGGACATGCATATGTTTCCGCAAGGGGAGGCACTGTGCTTTGCTATAATATATTCGTGAGCACAGTCAGCTACCCTCTTAATTGACTTCCAGCTCAAGGGAAAAAACCAGCTTGGAAAATTCCTATTGAGAGGAAAGGTAACAAGAAAACCCCCAAGCTAAAACACATCCACCTTATATGTATAAACAAATACATTTTCTGGGACAAACGTTTTTGTTACTAGAGCATCATCAGTTATTTTAATGCAAAAAAGGTGAATCTTTCATACTTTTACAACTCTCCACCACTGTCATTATAATAAGGCACCCACAAACTGTGTAAAATACTCTTAAAAAAAGGAGAAGAGCACCTTCTGTTCTGATCCCCGCCTTTGCCTTCAGTTTTACGCAAAGCTAAGGAGAGTAACAGCTGCTATGCTGCCTTCAACAGCAATGGGAAAAGCAAACAAGCTGTAACGCGTTTAACACCCGGATCATACTTCCCGTTTCTGTTGGGGGCATTCAGTAACACACTGCTTTGAAATTTCAGCCCCTGTGTTTGGCTGACAGACATCTGACAATGCTTTAATCATACCTTGACCAGCTGTTCTTGCTTACGCTCCAACTCTCGGATTTCTTGGTTGAGAATCACTGCCACATGCTGTGGCTGGCTTCTGCATTTATTACAGATCCCATACTGGGTCAGTTCATCGCACACGGGACAGTGTAAAGTCGTGAAATACTGGGAGATTGTGCCTTTGCGTCCTTCTAGCTCACTGCGGGCAGTTGAGGCAGCTTTTTGAATCTGTTAAAAAAAAATAAAAATGAAGAGGTAATGAACTTTCAGGAGAGCAGCTCGCCTTATTCCTCGACTGCATAGCCTATTTTTTTTAAAAGGAGTATGAAAGTGCAACACAGCCTGCAGGGCATGGGTTCATACACAAATTATTAACGTGGACTGCATCACTCTGAAGAGCGTAGCTCTTGCCCTGAAGCGATACACTGAACAGAGCCCACCCACACCTATTTCACAGGGAATCTCACCAGAGAAGAGAAAGAGTAACCAAAGAAATCCTCAGTCACACGCTAAATTCCTGATCTCATCTCACACTCTGCCTCCTGCAGTTGTAGGTGCTCATCTCCTTCGCGTCCAAACGTGCCCTGGCTGCAGCCCCAGCGGCTGCCTGCCGGATCCTGCCTCCGCTCGAGTTTCTGTGCCGGTGCAGTCCCGGCCACAGAGCTGCCACCGTCCTTTGCTCCGCGGCTCCAGCTCATGCTCTGATGTCCCCAGACAAAGCTCCACCACTGCCCCCTCGCCCAGGGAAGCTCGTTCTCTTCACTCGCTCTGGCGCTGCAGGACTTGGGCTTTGCGCTATCCTTCACTCTGCGCTATCCTTCACTCTCCTGCTTCCAACACACAGCTACTCTGCTCCCTATGACCTCCTCGGTGCTCCCTGGCCTTGCAGAAAGTCAGGGCTCTTTTTGCCTTTTTAGAACAGTTTGTTGGAGATACTTAAGGTAGGTGTCACAGTGCCATTGGAAAGGTAGAGAAAAGAAGTAGAATTGAAGTCAATCAAGACTATAATCAAAGTCTGCAGTGGGAAACACGATGTACTACTATGCTGCTGAAGTCTACACTAAGCAGAGTAACCAAACTACACAGATACGCTGTCTTTCACCATCCCTTTTTGTCAGGGGAATCACAAATTAAAATCCAGCTATCTAACACTTCTCTTCCTGCATCTCAATGATTTCTTTCACTTTTAGGAAAGTCAGTTTTGGATAGAATTAGTTTAAAATTTCTGGTGATACAGATTTTTAAAAAAGTGTTCCTGCTGCTGGGGCATTACCACCTTTTCTATAAAGAGGAAGGATCTTCAGAACATATTGGAAAAACAGGAGTTCCAACCTACTACAGACCAATTTAAAAGGTGGTACAGCCAAATAGATGCATATACAAGTACTGCTAAAAATACAGTTACAGCAAAGTATTCTATTACACTATGGAAGGGGTCAGAAAATAGAAGACGACAGTGTGATCAACCCTACACAGAAGGGCTAGCCGAAAAAACTGATTTACTAAGTGAAAAAAAAACACACAGAAGATCCAAGAATCAGGTCTGCATGTTTGGGCATCAAACACTGCCTTGTAAAATATCCCTTGCTGTTGCCTCATATAAACCTCATTCCATTAAATGTCACGATAAACCAAACACTGTATAGATACACTGCGTTTGTAATCTCTTTGGTTTCAAACACTTACCCGTGGCAACTCGTGGTACCAGCTGAAGACGTCTATGCCAATAAGGGAGAACACCCTAGCCAGCGGTGGCAGAATTTGTTTGGTAATGTAGTACGTCGCATTCAGCCTCAGGTTGGGATCCTGCAGGACTTCCACGGGCCGCCTCACCAGCTGTATCAGGGGCAGTCCGGGCATGCCGTACACAATGACGTAGGGCACTCGCTCCCCAACTCGTGGTTCAGAGCGACGGTCATAGGCAAGCATTCTCCTGTTTAAAAATAGCCTTTATAATGCATCCAGAGACAAGTTCAGTTATTTAATTTGCTTGTAAAACTCCCCATCTGGTTATATTAGTAGCTCTCCAGATGACTGAAGTTAGTGTGTATTATGAAGCACAGGACCAAGTTGTTTCATTTTTAATTTGTCTCATGGTCAGAACCAAATTTTAGAACTTGGAACATGAGCCCTGAAGACACGTCCTGTTTCAGGTCACTTGGATTTGCATGCAGATTGCTTTCTAGCTACCCCCTCTTTAAAGAATCATAGAATCGTTTAGGTTGGAAAAGACCTTT